GTTAACTGATCATGTGCCTGGTGTGTATTTTATGAAATGTTCATTATATGCACAGCACAGTCCAGATATCTGGGAAACACAAAGATAAAAGAGGACTTTGGCCTCAAAAAACATTTCTAAAGGGAAGGTGCATTTCTGTTAGAAGGTGCAGTGATATAAGATACATTCTTATTAGAAGGTACAATGGTAGAAGACAGAGAAAGCCATGCAAAGAGGGACAAATGATAAAATAAATTATTTGAATATAATTTTCATTGCTGTCAAGTTGATTGTCATTTTTAGCGACCCATAGAACAGTGTAGAACTGCCCCATAGGGTTTCCGGGGCTGCTCCTTAGAAACCATACACAGGGTTGCTATGGCACTTCACAACAACAACAACAATCTTTATTAATACCACATTTTCCTTCTGAAGAGCAGCTGGTGGGTTCAAGCTACAGACATTTTGGTTAACCAAGCAATTTAGCCTCTGCACCATAAGGACTCCTAATCTTCACTATGTTGTGAGTCATCAATTGATTCCAACTCTGCGACCCTGCTTAGGGTTTCCAAGAGCAGCTATTGGGATTGAAATGACAACTAGGCCACTAAAATGAAAATAGGATTTCTTCTTTAAGAGGAAGGCAATAAAGAATGGAAATAACGATGTCACCAATTCCTTCTGACATTATGTTGTTAAGTGCCATTGAGTCATTTCCAACTCAGCAACCCTGTATAGGATTTCCAGGAGTGGCTGGTAAGCTGGAACAACCGACTTTGCTGTTTAAACTGACCTTGCAGTCTTAGAGCATTAACCTGCAGCGCCACACATTTGTTAATATATTAACGTACCATTAAAATGTGTCTCTAATCAGGGTTGGTGCTACAGGATAAGCACTGGACTACTAACCACAAGGTCAGTGGTTCAAACTCACCAGCCTGTCTTTGGAAACTATACAAGGTTGTTGTGAGTTGCAACCAACTAAAGGAGCTCTGGTAGCGTAGTGGTTACGAATCGGGCTGCGAGCCGCAAGGTCAGCAGTTTGAAACTACCAGCAGTTCCACGGGAGAAAGATGAGGCGGTCTGCTCCCGTAAAGATTTACAGCCTTGGAAACCCTGTGTAGGGGCGCTCTGAGTCGGAACCGACTCCACGGCACAAACAACAACAACAATAAAGGGCACTAAACAACAGCAACCACAATTCTACATGTTTAAAACCAATCTCAAAGGTAAAGAAATAGTGCAGACCCACAGTGTTGACTTTAACTGCTTTTATTTTACTGAGACCTAAATGTGTGTGAATATAAACTATGCATAAACTCGTACTTACAACATGTAAAAGCTATAAAACCAAAAGACATACAAATTAAATAAAACTTTAAAACTCAACATTTGAATTAATTTTCATGTGAAAAAATTTTATTTTTCAGGGTCCAAACTATCAACATTGAAACCATTTCAGTTGAAAAATATTTTCATGCTTTTTTTTTTAAACTTGTGTTGAACTTGACTGTGTATTGATTTTGTATCTAAATGGTCCTTCACTTGCATTCTTGGTATTATCATTGTCATCATTTTTCCTTCTTAACAAAAATGTTATTTTTATCTATTTATTCATTGCTTTGATGAGCCAATTTACGTAACAAAACCCCAAAACCAAACCCACTGCCATGGAGTTGATTCTGGCTCCTAGTGTCCCTACAGACCATCCCATTTCATTCCCAAGTCTGCAAACCTTTTTAGAAGCAGACTGACATATCTTTCTCTGTGGAGTGGTTGGCAGGTTCAAACCACCAATCTTTCTTTTAGCCAAATGCTCTAACCCCTGTACCACTAGGGTTCCTTAATGATTTAATAGTGTACCCCAATTATAATAATAAACAAAATATATACCATTGAATATATCCTGTGATGAGAGAATTCTATCATGAGTTTTCTATTTTAAAACTTCTATTCTTAGAATAAGCCTGACATTTTTTACCCTTTGTTTAGCATGCATGCATAATTTATTTTTCTAAACCCACATCTTTTTTTTTCTTTAGCCTTTGACAACTTACATAATGCATCACTTAAATCCATTTCATTTTCGGATGTAAACAAATACTGCAAGAGGAGAGTTTTGTCTTAGTAGTTGGTAAAATAAAAGTATGCATTAGTGACAGACAGGGACAATTATTACAAAATTTAACATCAAGGCCCTACCTGCCTAGGGATGGCCAGATTTACTCCCCACCACTTTAAAAGTTCATCTCTGATTACTTAACATCAGCAGTCATTTAAATGCAAACATGGGATGAAGTCACTTGGCACTAATCTGCCATAATCATTATCTAGATGATCCAAAATATGCTTACATCTGTATTAACACTTTTGATCATCAGAACAAAAATGTAAAATGTAAAACTTCTCTAAGAACTTGCAAATGGCTATAAGCTTCTAATAGACAAAGGCACTAGTTTGAGAAACTCTGGTTTATAAATGTTAAACAAACTCCTGATAACCAAGAAGTAGCTTCTGTTTTGTTTTGTTTGTTGTTCTTAGAAAGGACTGGTGACAGTTCGGAAGATATCTGTTCACCTCAGCCTTAATCTAATCTTTGGACAGTCAATGAACCAATGCCTTCTTTGCTTCAAGTATAATAGAACCTTATATAGGGATTTCTAGACTAGGAGAGGTATACGGCCTAAACACAGTGCAGTTAAGTGAACAAACCAATTTAGATATTTTCACATGCTTCTAAAATTGCTTGTTGACTTTCTCTTTTCTCTGCACCAAGAGCTCTTTGATAGAGGCACTGTGTCTTACTCCCTATTGGATTCCCAGTGGATGGCACCATGCCTGGCACATAGTAAGTGTTCAGGAAATATTTTCTGAAAGAATGAATGAATGCCAGTATAAGAAAGTGCTTAGTGGTGTGATCTACATCAAATGGACTGCTTCAGTGTCTGGTTCCTGGAAGCATATAACTGGTAGTCTGATATTGTGACCATAAACTGACTTGATGGAGAACTGATTCTCGTCTGACTCTGGCACATTCTTACCTGACAACCAGTCACCTCACTGCCTAACAGTTGATATTTGGAAAGTGATAAAAAAGTTTCCCAATTGGCACATTTCGTCTAGTGCCTCCCTGATTTCCTTCCTTCACCCTGCCATCCTTGTGACTCAGGAAGCTAGGATGCTTGTGTTATTCACAGGAAACCTACAGGCCTCCGTCCAGTGCATGATATCTTTGCCATCTTTCAACCCACTCTGCAGAGCTCCAGTTAGGGAAGTTGGGGAAAGTGCTCAGCTTGTTTGCTTTTTGGTTTTGTTCTGTTTGCCTAGGTTCATTGTAATGATAGACTAAGGAGATAAAGTGTGTGTTTTTGAGAGATAGCTTTTGGTTCTGCAAGATCAAAGCGTGTCGTTGTTACTGACCCTTATGGGAGTATTTCTTTGGTTGAGTTATTGCTCATTTTCTCCAAGATAACTTGCCTCTAATTTAGCTTTTTTTAAAAAAAATTTTAAAGGCCAACTTTTATACGTCTTATCAAAATATTATTCACCAGATAATCGGCCTTGGTTTCCATCACGTGCTTCAGGCAACATGTGATTGCAACACTTAAGGGGAACTGTTCTGCCTGGTTAGAGCTGGCAAACTAAAATAGCCGCAGGCAGAGAGGCTTTCTGTTTTCTGTGTAATTGTTCTACATACATGTCTGCCATTTATTTCTTAGTAGTCTTTTTAATACATGTAGTATAGTTAGAGGCACATGTGACAAAAACAGAAAAATTGGAAGTATTAAAAGTTAGATGCTTCATATGTTAACATATTATTTTAAATGAATCAAGCCAGGAGAAACTGAAGACTGATTTCTGTTAATTCTGTTAATCACTCCTGATAAGCTCTATAGCTGGGACAAATCAATGGATCTTTCTGTGTATTCAGGGATTTTTGATCTAACAATTAGAAATTGGTTTCCACTCCATTGCCTTCAAGTCTGTGAAAGAAGCATTCCGAATTTGGAAATTTAAAATGCAACAAAGCTTTATGAAAAATGTAAAGTAGAAATACAAGGTGCCCCATAGATAATAACTAAATCTAAGTATTTTTTTTTTTTTATCACAGATGGACATTTTACTTCATAACCCAGGAATCATGATAGAATATCTTGTCATTAGCACTCAGAACAAACTGCATTTCTGTTGGCCCTGTGTTCTAACTAAATGTAATGTTTTGAGTACCAATAGATGATGTTTTTATGTTTCCTCACTGTAGACAAATTAATGATTGTATGCTGTGAAATACTATGAAAGAAATGAGGAAAACCAGCTAAGAAAAAAAATATTATAATCACATTCATATAATGAATTAAAAATTGCTATGTGGAGATGTCTCATCAAACAAGGAGAAAAAAAGTTGATGCTATCACACCTATCTATTAAAAAAAGCAATTATAGAAATAATCCACATTGTTGTATGTGACATGTTTGTGTATATTTGTACAGGCATACACACAGTCTATTGTACTGACTCTGGTAACTGGAGAGGAGCTGTTACATTTATATTAAATACACTGTGATTAGCGGTTCTGCTTCCTGGTTGGAATAAGCTCATCATACACAACTAAAGGTATACTCTCAGGAATTTAAATATCCCTACACAGTCTCTTTTAGGGATAGTAAGATCCTCTGAATGGTCCAAACTATTGCTTATATATCCGAATTACAACAGACTTTAACTCAAATAAGAGATGCAGTTTTATTTGCCAGCTAGTACTGGTACCTATAGAAGGACGTGGGGAGCAAAACAATGAAGGTAATAAAAAATCTTTTCCCAACATAAAGCTAGGAAATGTTGATGCTCACAGTCTTCTTTGAAGGTAAGAACCTCCCTGTTACATAATCTAGGATGTGTGTGGAACATAAGTACCCAAGGTATTGTTACCATTATTTCTAAAAATGGTACCTAAAGCACTAAATTCCATCTCCAAAGCCCACTACCATCTGTATTTTGAATTATTTCTTTGATTTAATAGGGAGAAGATTCAGTTTATCCGAACTGAAGGAACCCCAGGACTGGTGCGTCTTTCAAGTGATGCCGACCTTGTGATGCTGCTGAGGTACTTACCAATTGCTTTATAAGTAGAGAGTCTCCTGATATCATAGAGGATTTTGGAAAATTCTACACCAGAAATATTTGGTAACCTAAAAATGTTTCTTTTATTCTTAAAGACTAATAATGAAGATGTAGGATGCTGATTTAGTGATCATTTGTTTCAGACTGCATTTGTTACCAATAATTTCTATTTGATTTTTTTTTGTAACACTGCTGGGAAAGAAGATGGTCTTCAGGAAAGGTTATCGAGGCCAATGAATAGACTTTCCTGCTTACAAAACAGAATAGTAGTGTATCTGAATAAACTACACTGGTTTAACCCCTTCAGAGGAGTCCAGAGGTCATATATATATTTTGTTTTTCTTAAACTATTTTTTGTTCTCTTTTGCTGATTTGGTGGTGGTGTTAAGTGCCATCGAGTCGGTTCCGACCGATAGCGACCCTAAACAGGGTTTTCGAGGCTGTAAATCTTTATGGGAGCAGAAAGCCTCATCTTTCTCCCATGGAGCAGCTGGTAGTTGTGAACTACTGGCCTTGTGGTTCGCAGCCCGATTCGTAATCACTGCGCTACCAGAGCTCATTATTTACTTCATGATTTTGAGAGCTTAAGTTTGGGAAATCAGACCAGAAAGTTGAAATTTGGTCATTAGTACACACTGCCAATGTGATGTTGTTGTTAAGTGCCATCCAGTCAGTTCTGACTCACAGTGACCCTGTATAGGGTTTCCAAAGAGCAGCTAGTGGGTTTGAACTGCAACCTTGTGGTTAGCAGTCTGTGCTTATCCTAGCATGCCATACATACGAGGACTCTGCCAACTTGATAGTCCTTCATAAAACTGTTTTATTTTCTGATGCACAGATCAGCTTTGGTTCTATAATTTAGAATAGGATAGATGGGAAACTGGCAATTTTCGCAAGATTTTTCTCATTTTGAATATTTTCTCTCAAATGCAAACAGGCCAGAGTGAAATAGTGCTTTGTTTTACCAGTGGTTGGGACACCCCCGACTGGAACCTCCATAGCTAAAGGGAATGTCACACTGAACCACTTAAGCAATGTTTCTTTATCCCAGAATGGGAATGGCCTCATTCTGGTTATTTCTGATGATTTTAACCTTCACCATTTTTTTGCCCACTTGACACTTGCTGTAATCCTATGTGGCTCTGTGGAATAAAGCACTGGACTTCAAGGTTGGTTTAAACCACAAAATTGGCAGTTCAAACTCACTAACCACCCCTTTAGACCCTATGCAGGGTTACTATGAATCGGAACCAACACTGTGGCACTTAACAGCAATGACAATTTCCACTGCCCACTTGATACTGGCCATAATTGTAAAACAAAAGGTTAAAATTATTTTCCTTGAGTATATAGTTAAAGCATAATGAAAAGGAATGTAAGAACAGACTCTAAAATTTGTTCTTGGTCTTAAAGTAGCAACAGTGAATAGAAGAAAAAATAACATAAAATAACTGAAGAGAAAATTTCAAAGGGCAGCTTGAGAAGACAAAGTCAAATATTAAAATGAAATGTAAAAAGACCTGGAATTAGAAAACCCAAAGGGAAGAACACACTCAGCATTTCTCAAGCTGAAAGAACTGAAGTAAAAATTTAAGCCTCGAGCTGCAATATTGAAGAATTCTATGGGCAAAATATTGAACAATGCAGGGAACATCAAAAGAAGATGGAAGAAATACAGAATACCTGTACCAAAAAAGAATTGATGAACATTCAGTCATTTCAAAAAGTAATGTAACAGGAAACAATGGTTTCCATGGAAAAGAAGTCCAGGCTGTGCATGGAAGGCATTAACAAAAAACCAGTCTCCAGAACTGGACAGAATAGCAATCAAAATGTTTCAACAAACTGATGCAGCACTGGCACTCACCTGGCATGCCCCAAAATTTGGAGTGGACAACTGCCTGGCCAGCAGACAGGAAGGGATCTACATTTGTGCCAATTCCAAAGAAACATGACCCAACATAATTCAGAAATTATTCAGCAATAGCATTAATGCCACATGCAAATAAAATTTTGCTGAAGATAATTAAAAAATGATTGCAGCAATAAATCAACAGGAAGCTGTCAAAATTCAAGCCAGATTCAGAAGATGATGTGTTGTTGTTGTTAAGTGTTGTTGGGTCGGTTT